AAAAAAAAAAAGTTAATTATTAAAAATTGTATTTTTGGACTTTTACAAAAGCTAAATATCTCGAAAGTTCAGGTATTTGTTTGTCTCAAACATAAATTTGTGTAAATTATTTATATTTATATTTCTCGATTGTTTTATATGGTTTTGTGCGAGGGCAGTATTACTATTAATAAAAATGCCGCGTCCTAGAAGATCTAATCTTTCCCGGCGGACCCATAATGCAATTAGGCAACGGAATAGCGCGAGTCAATTATCTGACGAAGAGCGAGAAATCGCCCGAGAAAGGCTCCGCGTTAGTACCCAGGGAAGAAGGGCCTTAATTCGTGCTTCTCAAAGAGAGGCAGCCCGTGAAATGGCAATAAGAAATGGTTCAAGGATTGATTTGAATCGAGCAGCGTTTCGATATGATTGCACCATTGATTACAGCTTGAATCGTTTAGTTTGCATTGGTCCAATGGACGTTGTTTGCTAGCATTGTGGCGCATTGAAGTTTGCTGGTGAAACGCCCGGTTTGTGCTGCCTTAGTGGTAAAGTGACATTGCCATTAGCGGTCACCATAGCCATTGCGTTCCCTGCTTTATGGCGAAACACTAGAATCACGACATTTTCTAGCGAACACTCAAAAATACAATGCCTGTTTCCAAATGACATAATTTGGGGCGGAAAATATTGGAGACGGATATTTAAGGTAATTTACGTTAAAAATTTTATTTTCTATGACTGCCAAAAAAAAATTTTGAATAATGTAGTTTGTTAGATTTCTGTAAATAGTGTTTGTAAATATAACTATAACTATGGCTTTGAATTTAAAGATTCAAGGCCAGATTTGCCATCGCATTGGATCATTGCAACCTATTGAAGATGCACAGCAAAAATTCTTGCAAATATACTTCATGGGCAATATGGAAGAACAACTTGACCGGCGTCAAGAAATGAACACAGCTATGAAAAGAGCAATTCTCCATGATTTGCATGCTTAGAAATTTAAACCAACCAAAACTGTGCAATGGAACGCGTTTGGTGATAAGAAAACTGATGAGCAATGTGATTCACGCGTTGATACTCAAAGGAAAATTTAAAGATGAGGAAGTTCTTATTCCTAGGATTCCGATGAGCTCAACAGATATGCCCTTTGAATTTAAACGAATTCAATTCCCGCTTCGTCTTGCCTTCGCCATGACGATCAACAAGTCACAGGGCCAATCTTTGACTATTTGTGGCCTCAATCTAGAAAATGCGTGTTTTTCTCATGGTCAATTGTACGTGGCATGCTCACGTGTTGGCAAACGATCCGCATTATTTGTTCTTGCACCCGACCAAAAAACGAAGAATGTCGTTTACAACAAGGTGCTTGAATGAAAATCCGATTAATAAATTTATCAGTGTATCCCAGCCTGAACAACATAGCTTTCAACAATTTTTTACCTAGAAATAATATAGAGGGCAATGCAACGTTTGCCGGGCCAGCTAGTATGTTATAAATAATCTATAATATATGAGTGCATTTTGAGCTAGCGAAATATTTGTGTGTTTGTTAAATGACATTTTCAGAAACGGCTCTTGGCAATATTTCCATTTGCATTTTCGAATGTCACGAAAAATATTTATGCATATTCCTAGTTCTGTTTGTGCAATGAATGTATTAATTTAAGCTGACAGCAAGCTGATTGCAAAATATTTATGCACAGATTTATTCACGCGACTTGTGCGATAAACCATTATGAGACTTTTAACGCATTTGTCTGCTCGTTTGTTGGTTTGCAATGGGGTGGACATTAGCAGGAGGCGTGTGTAATAAATGAGTGTATTTCACATCAAATAATATAGTTGAGGCAAATGTGATTAATGATATAAGGTGAAATATTTATGTGAGTGCTAAATGAGGGAACTTTTGTGTATTGGATTGAAAAAGAGCTAATGCTAAAATAATTAATACCCTAAATACTCAAAAAGGAACCGGAAATACGGAATACCTTTTCCTGTCCATTCTCTCTCTCTCTCCATATCCTTTCTTTTACTGTTTCACTCTATTTTCGTTTTCATTTAGTTACGACTTTGTTTTTTTTTTTTTTTTTTTTGAGAGGTAGTATTAAACAGTCGTCGACACCGTAATGACTTTTTTTTTTTTTTTTCTTTGTTTTTTTTTTTTTTTTTTTTCGACTTACCAACTGTGCCCCAAGCAGAGCTTACATAAGAAATTCGTCTAGGAGTTTAACAACAATTTCCTGGCTGATATTTTCACTTTTCTTGCAACATGTGACAGTTATGAGGGGGGAGGAGCTGGTTGAAAAGGAGTTGACTCTAGCCCAAAGGCCATAGCCAGCAAAGATAAACGTGTGTGTGTGAAAGTTTACAAGAGTTTGTCATGCAATTAGAGCAACATGCGACTAAAAGTGGACAGCTCTGGGAAACTCGCGACTGGCGGCTGGCTAGGCAAAATGCGTTTCTCACAACGAGAAAATCAAGTTTTCCAATCTGGCTGTCGCTGATGCCGATGCCGATGCCGATGCTGATGCTGATGCTGGTGCAAATAAAAGCAACAATCAGCCAGGCAAAAGTGGTTTTCGCCAATTGAACATGTTTGCTGCTCCTGCTGGCTGTTGTTGCCGCTGCTGCAAACGAAATCGAAATCAATTTCGGGCTATGTGCGCGTGTCCATTCATGGAGCCATTGAACCGCGCTCATCAAAGCCAATGGCCATAACCCAAGTCTCTCTCCAGCTTATATAAGCCAACAGAGAGCGAGGGGCGCTTCATGACTTTATTTTTTGTTTATTTTCGTTCGTCGCTGCTCACAGCGAAATGTGCGTAAGACTTGCAAGGCAAGGAAAACAAAATCAAAGTCAAAACATTGTTGCAGCGAAAGTTGCCCTAGCCCCCGCACACATAGTTTGAGAAAGACAGACTGAGAAGGATAGAGTGAAAGAGAGAGAGAGAGAGAGGGTGGGCAGAAGTAGAGGATATGTGGCCATTGCCATGATACTGATAGCTCTTGGTCATAAATGTCGCTGCTTGCCATATAAAAAGCAAAGCGTAGCAATTGCGCCAAGTGGACGTGGACAAAAAGGAAGCGAAGTGTAACCAGTGTTGGATAACATGCACAGATTTTCAGCTTAGCAAATGGGGAAATAACATTTTATACACATATATGAAACTTTGTCAGCGTTTGGCGCTTTAAATTGTTGAAAACCAATTTTAACTTTTTACTATGTATGAAAAATAAAAACAAATATGATGAAAATAAATGACTTAGATATATGGAAGTAAAATATATATGTATAAAAATAGCAGAAAACAGTATATATATACACTATAAGCAATATAAAATATTTTTAAAATTCATACAAATATTAATTTTAACTTTTAGAAATATTTTATATAAAATTTTTGTTTTAAATTTCGTTTAAGAAACTTTCTTAGTTGAGCTAAATATCTAAATAATTTTCTTTTTATTCTATGACTATAAATATTTGTGCTCAGCTGTTTCGTTAACCTTGTTGAGCAGTGTTTAGACCTAGAAAAATATATAATTAAAATACACAAAAGAATTTTTAGAATACCAGACGCACGAATTACAACAGAAAATAATTTTAAACTAATTAAATTGAGGCACAGTGACTAGAATGTGTGTTGCCTGTATAATGTCTTAGTTCTGGCAGTATCTATATGTGTGCATGCGTGTGTGTGTGTGTGTGTGTGCTCACCATAAATATGCCAAAATAACAATGGTCTATTCCGGCTGTCTGCCTTACCTTACCTACCGCTCCCCCTCAGCTTGCATTATACTGACAGGCAAATCTAATAAGCATAATGAATGAAGCAGCAGCCGAGAGGATAGGCCAGGGGCGGGGGGCCACCAGCTGAGTTTCTGTTTTCGCTCAACGTGTTGAACTTGTGCTGTCACCTGTAAAGGCAATGACAACACCGTCTCCCCCCGCCCCGCTGCGCCCCCCTCGCTAGAGCAGAGCAACGTCGAGCGGCAGAGCCATGTGGCGCATAGTTACAAATATCTTGGCTGAAATTCACACCGCAGAGATACTTCGCCTGGTGTCTGTCTATTTAATTAATTTATATATTAGATACACTTCATTAAAAATGTTTTCAGATATGTTGCTTTGACCATTGTGCTTTCGCGCGTTGCTTTTGTTCTGTCTGCTCGACGTATTTGTTGATTGAGCGGCACAAATGTGCGACACCAAAAGGAAACAGAAAACAAAAGCCAAACTACTCGTGTGTATCTGTGTGTGTGTATGTGTGTGCGTATCTGAAAGATACACTCGTATCGCCTGACTGCCTAATGGCTTGTAAGTGATCTATGTGCCGCCTGTGGGCATATTTTGCGTTTTGGCCAAACCGCCTTACATAATTCATCATCAACGAATTGCTTCCTTCCTTCTTCCAAAACAAAACAAAAACGAAAATGGAAAACAAGTGACACTTGCACCGCTGACCCACTCGAATAAGGCTTTTCGTCGTCGTGCCTGTTGTCAGCTCCTCACTTAAAGCAGTCGACGAGATGCCAACAAACATCTGCTCTCTCGCTCGCACCGCCTGCTTTGGCCAGCAATTAACGCACTTTGAGCTACATAAACTGGGTCAAGTGTGTTTCTGTGGGTGGCGCTTGTTGGTTGAAGGTTCGGTGAAGTGCTCGGCACTTCGTAGTCGTCTAATGAAATGCATTTCAGTTCTCATTAGGCAGGCCATTTTGTGATTTAAACATGAAGGCCTAAAACACTGTGAGAAAGGTGTGTGTGGGAGTGTGAGTGTGTATTTGTTTAGGGAAGTACAGCCGATAAGTCGAAAATTCAGCCATTTGAGATTACAGCGAGCTAAGTTTAAATCAGCTGTGCAAAATTTCTAAGCTAAGCTTGGTCGTATATCGAATGGAAAGGGTTTTCCGAATAAACTACAACGGATATGGACTTCCTCCTTCAGGAAGTATATGAAACTCAAAGAAATGTTTTTTTATATTATTATAGAAGCTTGAAGCTTGAGTATGCTTCAATGCTTAATTTATTCAGGGGTCAGCTATGACACAATGAAATATTTAATATTTCTTTTGTTTTACAATGAAAATTTTGAGAGAAAACCTCGATATGAGTTTCTTAAGGAAATATTTCAGTTAGATATATCATTTCTACATAATCTTTCAATATTCCATCACCGACTCCTGCTCTTTAATGTCAACGCTGACCAATGTTGACCAACCTGTTTATGCCACGTAAAAGCGTTCTTTCTAGCAGTAAATATAAATGCTGGTAAAGTGCTTTTTCTTTTGTGTGTGCTTTAACAACACCCACAAATACTCACACACACACACCTTTTGACCCCAACGAACCCGAGTATATATGTATGTGCACACAGGTACACTTCTTTAGTCCGCAACGCTCTCTCTCTCTCTCTCTCTCTCTCTCTCTCTCTCTCTCTTACTCTCTGACTCTCCTCTACTCTGTTAATGTTGCATACAATTAAAGGGCATCTCTCATCCTGTGTTTGTTGTTGTTTTCTTCTTGTAATGCGCTGGCACTTAATGCAATTTTGATGTTTTTGCGTCACCTGCTGTTGATTTGCAGCAACAGCAACAACAACGACTAGGTGAAGTAGAAGAGCCACAACAACAATATTCAAATAAAACTTTGCATTTGCGATTGTGGTTAAAGTTTTCATTGTTTTTTCTCCCTTTATTTTTTTGGGTGCTATGAATTTTCTTGCAGCATTCGGAAAATGCGTTGACTGCCAAAGCTAGCCATCTCTGTTGCACCAACTGCTCCTCTGTTTCACATCCCTTTGGCCTTTCTGGCGCTTGCCACAAATGCCACGCTCCACACACACACACACACACACGCATATGTCGAGTCATTCTCTCTGTGCACTGTTCCATGCCACGGACCTTTCAATGGGGGGGAGAGGAGTTCCGAGCTCGACCAGCCAACACGCAGCTGCGTGCTTGGGGTGCTGCTGGGGAGTCATGGTTAAAGGTTTTTTGGCATCAGCACTCGCAACATCCTCCGCAACTTTGCTTTGTCATGTGCAATATTTCTTTCTTGTCTTTTGTCTAAGAGCTCGAAACGCCGAGTTCGGCAAATGGCAGAAGCAATAACCCAAAAAACATTCAAAATTACTTGCAAAGGGAGTTGACTTCACAAAAGGCGAAGTCGCTGCGATGTGCATTATGCTAGTAACTGCTACTAAATAATAGTGTTAACGACTTTATGCACATTGAATAAAAATTTAACAAAATAGGGAAATTTAATAAAATCGGGAAATAATAACTGTTTATGAACTATAAATGATCTGCAGCAAATGAAAGAAAGATTATTTGCGAATATTTAGGAACAATGTAAATAAAATTTAACATGCGTTTTTTTTTCATAATTATTTTCATGGGAAATTTTATATATTTTTTGAGGAAAAATTATGTTTCTTTTAAAAGAAACATTGCTTGATTTCATGTACGCTTTTATTATTCATAAATATTTTATTATATTCATAAATATAGAACACCTTCTTGAAGTTATGGGGAATTCTAATGAATTAAAAAAAGAAAAAAAAAAATAATCAGAATTTTCTACCTAAGTTTACGGAGCCTTTTATATTCTGTTACAGTTTGAAGCAAATTGTGAAAATTTATTGAAAAGTTATAGAAAATTTAATTCATTTTATTTTTGCAGAATACATAAATTCATAAAAATTCTGTTGATTTCTTTTTATAAAAAATTATCAGCTAGTCTAGAAGTTTTTAGAAAGTTCCATTTGTATGCTTTAGATAAATATAAAATTCCGGAAATGGTCACACTTTTTTGTTGATTCAATCAAAATTCTTATGCGGTCACACTGAGCAGTGTTACCGTTGAAAAAATAAAGCTGGTCGGTATTTTCTGCAGATTAACAGATTAATTAAGCCACTATCGATAAAACGAAAGGGAAAGGGAAAAGCATTAACAGTGCTCGATAATGAGATAACAATATACGATAGCAGGCCGTGTCAAAATCTCTGCTCTGAGAAGTTACAAAACACTTTCTTTTATTCGATTAGAATCGAAGCAGGCTCTGCAAATCATTTGCAATCCACAGAGCCCAGCCAGTGTCAACTCATTCGTCAGTGGGACGGCTTACTGAATAGAGTTCTGAACCCAGTCATCTCGGCAAAATAAAAAATCAAATAAATTAAAATAAAAAACATTTACAAAAAAATCAAAAATCAAATAAAGCGAAAACAGGAACTCAAACATAAAATCATCGTAAAATTAAACGAGAATTTGTGCGCGTCGTAAGCCTTCAGTTCAGACTCTTTCGGTTTTACTTTCTCGAACTCGAAATATTTTCACACTTTTTCTTATCCGCTCGCTCGCTCGGTCGTTCGTTTGTTCAGTGCATAAAATATTTTATTTTTTTTTTTTTTGCCATTCGTGTGTGTGTGTGCTCTGCCGTTGTCTTTGTTGCTGAAAAGAAGTTGCTGCTGTTTCTGTTCTAGTCTGAGTGGAGCATTAATCAGCCATTTACAGTTACGCAATGGATAACTTGAAGGCCAACACAGCGGGCGCCTATTTGTGGCATCCGCCGCAGCAGCAGCAGCAGCAGCAACAGCAGCAGCAGTCGCCGCTAATGCAACAAGCAGCGGTGCCGCCGCCACCGCAGCAGCAACCGCCGCCGCTGCTGAGCGGCATGCCGCAGCCGGTCCGTCGGTTTGCCGGCAACAAGAATAATTACAACTATATGCAGAGCCAGGCCCAGGCGGCCGCCGGCCTCATGATGGGCGCCAGCAATCCGGGCGGCCAGATAATGGGCATCGGCTCGCCCAATCCCAATGGCTATCGCAAGCGCCAGCCGATGAACACCGGCTACAGCCCGGGTGGTTTTCAACATAACGGTAAGAGACGGCAAATGGTCGCCAAATGCAGAGACACACACATTCAAGCTCACACACACAAATACACATATAAGAATTTTTTTCGGCAGATGACATAGCAGAAAAATAGTTCAGTGTTGGGTAAAGCATTGTAAAAGCAACCCTATTGTAGTGTTGCCTAAGCAGTGCTGGAAAACGTGTGAATGCATATTTTCAGCAAGTCGTGTTGGGAAACGTATGATAAGAAGTCATGCAGCTGGGGGGCATAAATACTAATGAAAATAATTATATAAAAAAAATATATTTATATGATTTATATTAA